AAAAAAAAAAAAAAAAAAAAAAAACACATCTTAGTAAAACCAATACCTTCTCAGCTTCGCATCGAAGCTAAAATGGTTTTATTAAAAAAAAAGTATATTGAATTAATGATTTATATAAATACTACTTCTCATGAAAAAATTGTATAGATAAGTTATAGTTATAGCATAATAAAGTTAAAAATATAAAATATATAATCGAGAATTTTCACACAAAAATAGTATTCGGTAGACAATTTCACCGCGAGGGCAAAATAAAGTCCGAATTTTTTTTCATAATAAAGTATATTACATTAGCTTTAATTTAAGATATATACTATATATAAAAGTGTCTTCCAGAACACTTTCAAAAGTCAATATTTTGTAAAAAAATATCATTTAAAATCCCTCCCCGTGGGCAGGTAAAGTGTCATATTTATAAAAAAAAAATATAACAAATGACAGGTAAAATCATCATGCATTTATAAAAAAAATTATATTCATTGGGTCATTTTTAAAAAAGTTATGGAAGTTTTAAGTACAAAAAAATTGAAAAAATGTCAAAAATTGGGGATTTTTAAATTTGTGATCTTTTCACATATCGTTGAAAGTAATCGATTCGGTAAGAGCTAAGAAAAAGTGGTAACAGACACAAAAATAAAAATTTTAAAAAAACCTTGTAGTAAAACTCCGCTTCGTGTCGAAGCTAAAATATCTAAAATATTTTCTATATCGCTACGACTCTAGTAATATAGAGCATAAGAAAAATTCAACAATAAGACAGTTGAAATATAATAGTTATCCGCTTTAAAATATTAATTCTACGCTTTGATTTGTGGGAGTTGATTAGTAAAAGTAATTTATTTAATTTTAGCTATATTTAAATATGTTATTTAATATTTTTGTTTATAATTGGCCTACAATTATAACAATCCTATAGATAAATAAAAATTTTTATTATAAATCTCTTTATTTTATTAACCAAAACAATTATTTGCAATTTGAGTATTTTTTAATTCATATTTTTTTCATTTCAGATATTATTTGTAGTACTGAATCACATTTTGAAATATACAAAGCTAGTAAGAATGAGTGTAATATAATTGATGTAGGATATTTTAAGAAACCTGATATTACACAATTTGACTTAGAGAAATTAAAAGATGAACCTGATAATAATGATAATAATGATACCATTAATACTCAACCTTGTAAACCTCTTTATATGATCGATTATTTGCCATACAACATTTAAATTGATTTTATTGTTTTTATTTTAAATATTTTGTAACGTCTTACTTATTTGCAAAAAGTTTATTTTTTCAAATTTAGTATACAGGTTATTACTTTTAAAACTAGTCACTCGATTTCTTTTAAAATAAAAATTATATTTAGTACTCATTAGTTTTATATATTCTCTATTTGAAATTATTTATTGTTTCTTAATTCATCTATTATAATTTAATACATTTTTAATGTATATTGTTTTATTAATGTTAATTAATATAATAAATAGTTAGTTTATTGGTTATCTTAAAAAATTATTTATTTTAAGAAAGGTATAGGGACACGTGCCCCCATCGTCCATGCTCTATTAATATAAAAATATTCTTTGACCTAAATATATAAATTACAGCAAAAATTAAAAAAATAATTTTGCTTTACATTTGTGTACATAATTAAAATTTTTATCTGATTATTTTATCTGATTTTAAGAGGAAATGAAATATTTTTAATTTCAAAAAAATCGAGTTTAATTGGAAGTAACATCAGGATTTTTTCATGAAATTAACATATTCCGTAAGTTAAGAACATTTAAAGGTATTGGTTGGTCATCTAATCCAACGTTTGCATACAGTTTAGAAAATAAATTTTCCGGTGCGCGTTTTTGTTTATTGTACTAGTTAAAAGATAATTGAATCCATTTTTTTAAAGTATTTTTAGAAGTTCTTTAGCACCACTAATATAAATGAAATTAGATTTTTGAAATATCTGAAATATAACTTTTAAAAATATAATATTTGAAAACACATTACAATTTTAATTCGCTGTACACACATCGGATGTATGCACAATGAAATAAGTCATAGCATCATATACCCCCTCTTATTATTTAGATATTTCATAAATAAGGCAACACATATAAGCAATAAACCTTAGTAGATCATTATTATATGAGCTGGATACGCCCCTAACCCACATGTTGTGGGTTTACCCTGTCATAGGTGGACGGGCGATGTAAACGGCCGGGGGAATATGGTGAAAGGTCGATGTTGCTCGTTCCTAGATAGCGTTTTGTTATACCATGGTACATGTATAGTTACCTTGGTATATGCATAGTATACCTAGGTAGATAGAACATCATACAATATACCTTGATATATTATAGAAAATTTGAGGGATTTTGAAAATTGTATAATTTTAGAAATATGTGAAAATATTTGAATGCAGAAAAGTGAAAGGTGTAATCAAGCGGCGACGGCAGCTATTAATCCAACGAAACCCAACTATAGCTATGTGATGTGTAGGCCTTTGGTCATAGAGAGCCCCCTTACTTGACTAACGTATGTATTAAAACAGTAAATCAGTGGTTTACCCCTACATAGAAGGGGAGGTGATGATGAAACTCATCATAAGGTGATCATTATTATGATATTAAAGTAAATAAATAAATATGTACAATATTATACTATTTCATAGATAAAATATTTATACGTTAGAAATAATATTTTATCAAATTCTTTTTTGATTATTCCGTCACACTACCGCGTTTGTTAATAGACATTTTTTGTTAATGTATAATCGTTATTGTATAAAACATATGTATATACATAATCTATTACATATATTTGTATAAAAATATTTAGAAATCGAGAGTTTAAAATTATTTATTATGATATTAAAGTGAAATTACTAAAGTGGTGAAGGAAAGGGTTAGTATACGGGGATATGTGTCCTGTGATTTGCTGACTCATTATGAAAAAATGCGATTTTTCTGCTTAAATGAGCATGAAATCGTTGATAAAGTCAGTGTTATCAAGAACCATCAGCTCTAGGAAGAAGACTCTATTCTATGAAAAATATGGCTGCCGAACCTGTAAGAAAACAGCGCTACATTTATATCACACCAACACCGCCAGTCGAGATGATTGACTCTAGTAGTTACACTATTGCATTCAGCGACAGAAAATTTTTGCAAGTGGTCCCGAGTCCAAAGGATGACTTCAATGTTACAGTATGCATTATTACTCCTTCACGATATATTAGTATGTCAGCAGATTATTTAAATATTATTTACGGCATGAGGGATGAAATAACATTATTTCTACAATCACCTCCGGTAAAAGGAGAGAACATTATGTTATACCAAAATGTCGATTTTAATATAACCAAAGTATTGTACCGTGATACCATGCATTTAGTATTAGAATCCAGAATAGTGGATGGGTGTCGAGTGTTATTGAATAACGAAAACATTAATAGACTTATGGACTTACAGTGTACTATTAACAGTGCAATATCAAGAAAAATAAAAACACGTTTACTATTAAGCCATCAAATAGACCATATTATACATTACGTTGACGATAAATAGCAAGACCCTAAAATTCAACATTCAAACAATGATGAAATGGTTAAATTTTTAAGAAGTTTGAACGATAAAGAAATATGCGATACTTTTCCTAAAGGTAATTACACACATAGCAATGGAATATTTCTAGAATATTCCTAGAATATTTATTTTTGATATTAAAATATTTCTAGAATATAACCAGAATATATTGAAATATTCTCACAATGTTCTCAGAATATACTTTGGCAGCGAATATTACATTCTCATAATATTTTAAAGGTATATTTCTAAAATATTATAAAAAATATATTGTGACAATATTTTTAAAATGTTTTATAAATATATTAAAAAAATGTAAAATACTAGACCGCTACGCGGGATTCTAATCCTATACTTCAAGCGCTTTGGACTCGTACGTTACCCATTGACCCACAGGTTGCTGTTTATTAGGATAAAAAAGACTATTTAAGGTAGTTCAAATGGTTATTTGTTTGTTAAGTAATTTTTCTTGTTTAAAAAAATTCAAAGTAAATACAATTTTATATTCAATTTAGATTAGATTCATATAATTTTTTTGAAAATCGGCGATCCCATCATCATGATTTTTCCTTGTAAGTTAGAAATTGACTATTATTGTTGATAATATAGAAATATATTCTAACTATAATAAAAAAACTTTTTAGGATTTTTAGTTTCACAGGACAATAATAAGATAAAATTGCGCTGATAAAACTAAAAAAATTTTAACTCGATAAGCCTGCAAATAATGACAACAAGGTTTTTTCTACTGTCCTTGACTTATTTAGCTTAATTGAATTAGGTTAATTAAAATTGATACTAATTTGAAAAAATGGCTGTTTACTTATTAAGGATTTAGAAATATGTATATATAATACATAAGTATTATATAACAAGATACCAATAACATCCAAAGATGTAACTAAAGGGAGAAAAGAGGATGGCTTGTGTCTCTTAAGTTACCTCAGTTGGCCAACAAGATATATATTTATAATATTTAAAAAATTATATTGATAATATATTCAACAAATATTTCAAGTTAAACATTCTATATTTATTTTAATTAATATATTTTCATAATATTTATAAGCAAATATTTAAAAAGATATTTTTTAAGCACATTGTAGAAATATTTTCCGTGTAATATACTGTATTTATTCTCTTTAATATATTCTCAAAATATACATAAACAAATATTTAAAAAATTATATTGTGAGCATATTATGGAAATATTTCAATAGAATATATTTTTTATTATATTTATGAGATATTGTCACAATATTTTATTCAAAATATTTTAAAAAGTATTTTGTAAGAATATTTTGACAATATTAATATATTGAAATTGCTATGTGGGTACATAAGCGAGCTGAAGAATTTAGCATAGCATGTAATAGTTGATCGTTGGGTCAAGTCATGGTCCAAAGACATGCTTCAAATTAATGTGAGTTTAATGAACATAGATTGTCATAACCTTTATTGTTATTAAATTTATAATTATGTTTTATAAAAAAGAAGAAGAAATGTGCGATGAAAATGATGGACCAACATTTTTCAATACAACAGTGTTTACCCAAGAAAATANATGATGGACCAACATTTTTCAATACAACAGTGTATACCCAAGAAAATAGTTATAGTCCATGAGCTTCACAATGGCCGAAACCCAATCACATCAGAAAATTAACCTACATTAATAATTTATAAACAATAACTTTATATATTGTACTAGTTTCTTATAATAAACTTATAATCTAAAATGAAAAATATTATGAAAAATATATTTATTTTATAATAATAATAATAATTACAAGGTTAATAATAAATGTTTACATAAACATGTAAAAAATGTTAAAATATACGGATGGTACCGTCAAAAGGTGTCTAAGTAAATACATTGTCTGAAATTACTAGAGCATATGCAGTTGTATTAGCGGCAAACGTGGTTGATGCTTCAATTTCAATACATAGGTCAAAAGAAGGGACTGTAATTGTGTCGGTCTGCTTTGACATATCAATCACTGCAATAGAATTATTATAATGATATTAAAAAATAATATTAAATATGGTTAAAATAAAAATATCTATACATTTGTCGGTTAAATAACAAGGTATTTGTATGGTGGATTTGTACCGCACATATTTGTACAGTATTCATTATCACATGTAAAAATGTTAAATTTCATGATGTAAAATAGAATATGTGTATGAAAAAACTATGTTTAAAGATCTATACCTGTTCTTGTACTTCATCCTGTCACATGCATAACACTAGAAGCAATGGCTAATTATGTTAGCCTTAATGTATATTATTATTATTAATATTATATACAAAATATGAAAAATAATTAACTTAAAACAATACAAACTTATTATTATTTATAAATTATAAATACCACTCTGAATATTCATCTACAGTCTCGCCATCCAAATTAAAATTAAGATAGGTAATTGGGGTGCGATAGTATGTCGGTACCAAATTCACCATACGGTGAGTCGAGTTAAGCTCAGTTAAACCTATGTTTAATATTCGTAATCATAATCTTACTTTGAATCTATATTGGCTAATATGAATCGTCAAATGAAAACCAGTTTCAATGCTAATGCTAACATTCATCTTGTTTACGTGATACAATTAAGTTGTACATGCNCATGTTACGTGATAGAATTAAGTTGTACATGCAAACAAGATCAATCATACGACGATTTTTAAATCCTCTCCTCAACTTTTGACTGCTACCTGTAAATAAGCTAAGTCTTTCTGTACAATAAAAATAATCTATGTAAACATAATTTTCATCCTTTATTAAGTAAATTAGTTTCGTCTATTAACTATTAGTTTTAATTTTATTATCAAAACTATTACTAATAATTTTTTTTACCTTCAAGCCAACGTTTATGCCCATAATCAGACTTTACGGTGAATAGCTTTTCATACAATTCTCGTAAATAAATCTCCAGATCGACCGATGTACGTTCAATTAAATCGTTAGTAATTGCCTCATATTTTTCATACTCTGCATTATTAACGAAATATTCGACCACTACATCGGCCCAAATGTTGATATATTGTCCGGTATGGTAGACATCTCTTAATAATGCCCTATGTTGATAACATTTATTGATTTCACAATCACAATATTTAAAATTGTAATCTTCTATTTTTACATATAAAATATATGTTAACGATAAATGAAGAATACTATTATCAATTTATTTTACTCACTCGTGGCATTGAAATCCATAATACATTTCTTGTACAAATTTTCAATCGTATTCATTTTATTTTTTGTTTATGATTGAATACGCTGGTTAGTTGAATAAATGATAGTTTGTATGCGTACTTGTTCAGCATAGAGCGTTACAAGTAAAAAAATCATACATTTTGAGGTGTTGAGATAGGGTATTTATATTCAAAACTATACTTAATGATCTATACATGTTCATAGCTAATACTTCACCCTCTCACATGTATAACGTTATATACATTGATCCATGTCACATTCATTATTCAGTAATTATATATGAATTTTTAGGCAAATAAGCAACAAACACATCATAGTAAAATTAATACTTTCTATTAAACAAACTTGACGGGACTTTCTAGTCCTATATACATTATTGAGAATGATCAGTATATATAGACCATATAATATGTGTCCAAAACATTATTTACTGATAATATTTAATGATTGTTCTCAATAATGTATATAGGCATACATATAGTAAGACAATTGCTAATAAATCAACACTGATCACTTCATACAACTAGGTGATGTTATCGTAGGTACTTATGGTATGTCATAAGTATAATATACTTGAATGTTTTATGTGTAATACATATACTATATATGCAAATAGATACTTTAGTATATTGATTTTTGTTAATCGACAGAGATACACTGATAAATGTATATGAATTACGTTATACGTTAGATAATATCTAACGTAATTATATTATAAAACTAAATAATTTATCACAGAACGTATATTATCAAATATTGGACACTTTCCTTTAACACTTGATACAATGTAAATTTTATTTCATACTGGTTTATTATCGGTATAAAAGTATACTATAATGTTATCTATCTACGTTATATTGTATATTAGGACCAATTACAAAAAGGTGAACATTCGGCTGACAATAGTCAGTAGAGTATTATTAACCCACATATTTGCGTGTAACACAAGTGTAAGTCGATGTGCATAAATGTTGAGGGAAACAATTCGTTCTATAACATCGGCCACAACGTAAAAAGAGTTATTTAGACATGAAAATACACTGCTTGAAGTATGTGACTTCAAAAGGGGTGTTTACTACCACAAAAGATTACATATTTGGGTAAACTTCCATGATAAACAAATTATGACACAGCATTTTATTAGACCTGATGACAATAACGTTGATAATTATTATATAGAAATGTTATTTGATTATTTATTTTCGTTAAATGAATAATATGAATATTTATAATTTTTATTTTTATTTTTAAAATCATTACAATAATAAATTTTTGTGCATAATAATAATTATGGTATACGTACTATAATTTATAATGACCGTAAGTTTAGATAGTAATACAGTCTATTTGATGCCTTAATTGATAATGGACTTTTAATTTTCTTACTATAGCATTGTTAATAGTACATTCCAATTCATGTAGTTTTTTTTTTAACATTTTCTATATTTAATAAGACTCTGCACTCATCCGCCGTTCTGGATTTCAACACTAAATGGTTATTATTGTGAAACAGCGCTTCAGATATTTTGAAGTCAGCATCTTTGGTATAATATACTATTGGTTTGATTTTGATTCGTTAAATCACATATCACAAATCCCTGTATACTACCCCTTTTATTCGTCCTTAAGCATTTACACTTTATTATAATAATAATTAATTTTAAACTCATGATTTTCAAATATATGTATGCGTATACTTTATACATTAACGTTTCGCATTAATGTCAAATAATAAATACAGTAGTGTAAATGAATAATAGTCAAAAGAATTTGATTAAATATTATGGTTACTTTTGATGTATAAATATTTTCACTTTAATATCTTAATAACTGAATTCATACGAAATAGCAAACTATTGTGTATATGCCTCTAATCGAGATTTATCAGGATTATGATAATTGGTTTACATAGTTTTCTGTTCTAGCCGTCGCTCAATAGCATAATATATCTAGTTGTATTCTATTTAAACACGGGTGTATATTATAGATGTATACTAGAACAGTTATTAATTATTATCAGTAAATAATGTTTTTTAACACACGTCGTAAGGTATATACTGTTCATACTCAATAATGTATATAGGTATACATATAGTAAGACAATTGCTAATAAATCAACACTAATCACTTCATATAACTAGGATACGTTATCGTAGATACTTATGGTACACCATAAGTATAATATACTTAAATGATTCATGTGTAATACATATACTATACATGAAAATAGATACTTTAGTATATTGATCTTTGTTGATCGATTTGATCTAACCCGATCATGATCGATAGAGATAGACAGATAAATATATATGGATTACGTACTACGTTAGATATAAGAACTAAATAAATTATCACAGGACATATATTTCCAAATAATAGACACTTTCTATGCCACTTGATTATTTTCACATTAATATGTTTATAATCACTTGTTTATACGTATAATTATTCACTTATAGAAGTTGAGATCTCTAGTTTTTTTTTTCTGTTGGTACTATTGCATATGCCTTGTAATATAAGAAAAGGTATTTTCATACATGAAAATCATACATGGGAATTTACATTTTTATAAAGTGTTTATGTTAAGAAAATTGCTATATTAATAATTCTTAAATAATGTGACTATTAAGAAAATATTGTTATCCTACCTGTTACTATTAATAATGTAATCAAGTTTTAAAAAATGTTTAACTTTGACGGGACTAGAAAGTCCCGTCAAGTTTGTTTAATAGAAAGTATTAATTTTACTATGATATGTTTATTGCTTATTTGCATAAAAATTCATATATAATTACTGAATAATGAATGTGACATGGATCATTGTATATAACGTTATATATGTGAGAGGGTGAAGTATTAGCTATGAACAGGTATAGATCATTAAGTATAGTTTTTAATATAAAATTCACATGGATGACGTTTGTAATTTTAACATTTTATACTGGTGATTATTTGCAAATTGTTGAAGATTCTATTCGTCGTTTCGTTATATTGTTAGATTATCTGAAGTATAAATCATATTTTAGCTTTTATGCGAAGCTGAGAAGGTATTGGTTTTACTAAGATGTGTTTTTTTTTTTTTGTGTCTGTTACCACTTTTTCTCAGCTCTCACCGAACCGATTTCTTTCAATGATACGTCAAAAGATCACAAATCGTATCTAATCGAAGACATTACCCTCAAAAATTGAAAAAAATTCNAAAGATCACAAATTGTATCTAGTCGAAGACATTACCCTCAAAAATTGAAAAAATTTCCCTCGTTCCCCGTAAATGGGTGAAACCTCCAAAAAAATTACAAATTTAAAAATCGCTAATTTTCGAAATTTTTTCAATTTTTTTTACTTAAAATGGCTATAAGTTTTTTAAAAAAAAACCGAATCAATATAGATTTTTTTTAAATAGATGCATGATATTATTACCTTTCATTTGATATATTTTTTTTTTATATGTGACCCTTTACTTGCCCACAGGGGGGGGGGATTTAAAATGACAACTTTTTCACAAAAAATTAATTTTTTCAACTTGATTTTTGAAAATGTTCTGGAAGGTCTGACACTTTTATATATATCTTAAATTAAAGCTAATGTAATATACTTTATTATGCAAAAAAAAATTGGGAATTTATTTTGTTTTCACTTTTACCGTATGCTATTTTTTTGTTAAAATTTTCGATTTTATATTTTACATTTTTAACATTATAATGCTATGACATATTGAAAAGTGTATGAATCAACATTATTTTTTTATGAGAAATAATATTTTTTAATAATCCCTTTTTCATTCGACATACTTTATCTTAATTAGGATATTAATAAGGAACTAGCAGATCATGTAGCTTTTGGAATAATCCACCAATTTTTTAAAATTAAACACTATCTAAAGATTTGCATCGAAGCGTTTNTAAACACTATCTAAAGATTTGCATCGACGCGTTTTTTTTTTTTATAGTGATTTTAATCACTGTCAGATATCATTATACTTGATCCATCTATGCCACGTCACCACTGACGTAACACAATAAAAGAAAAGAATCGAAGTGAAACTGGTGTAAAATGTAATTGTGGTGCGAAGATGAATATGAGGATGTGGTGCCTGCTGTCTAGGTATTCACGTGCGTGTTGTCGTACAGCAGTCACCATGCTCGACTGACACTCCGGGTTAGCTGTGGGTGTCGAAAGGCTGTTGTTATAGGAAGGGAATCAGGGTAACACCTAGGTATGAGGTGCAGACGAAGTGCAAGACACAAGTACTCTGAAATGTTGTGGAAGAGAGTAGATAGGTTTAAAAAGGAATAAACAAAGACTTTACTTTAAACAGTAAGCCGGACAGCGACAACCGGGTACTGAAACTGATGAATGACACAAGGCACTGGAGTCGACTGACCACGATGGTCAGGTCTTTTGGGTTTTTATAATAATTAGAACTATTGCCAAATTGGCAATAAATATTATTTGTTAATTCATCAATCTCAGGCAGCGGATGTGCTGTCTGTATTTTATTAAAATAATTCTCACGATATTGGTAACGTGACACCACATCACACCACTGTGCCGCGACCCCCCTGTGCTGGGTTTATTTAATCCTTTTTTATTTATTTCAGATCGTATTTGTAATACTAAAGCACATTCTGAAATATACAAAACTAGTAAGAAAGATACGAATAAAATTGATATAGAACATTATGAAGATGTGCAAAATATTGAAGATGATTATAATTATTATTGGAACATTATTAGAGAATTTAACTTAGATGAATTAAAAGATGATAATGATAAAAACGATAACCATGTGAATGGCTCCCTAGAAAATCAATCAACTTATTACAAGCCTTGTTATATGATCGATTATTTGCCATACAACGTGTAAAATGAAATTATTAAAATTTGTAACATTATACATTACTATTATTAAATATTATTTTGAAAGACACCGAAAGACTAAAATTAAAAAAATAGCTCTGTATACAGCTACTTATAATTATTTATAATTTAGCCGTAAAAATTACAATACTATATTGTAAAATATCAATTTTATTATAAATTTAATTAATATAATAAGTATTTCACAAATCACTAAACTTGTAATCTGGATATTTTTCATATGCTACAACTGCTATACAATATAGAATAGATTTGACGGTCAACTCATAAAACTTATGATCTAAATAACATTTTATACTTATGTTTTTTGAAATGTTTATTAAATATGTGACTTTTTAAATTTGAAATTAATATATTTAATAGACAAATCATATTCAAAACGTAAAATCGTTTAAAGTAAATTATAGTGTATCTCTAAAATGTATAGTTTTACTTCCCAGTAAAACTTATATTTTATTATTTTAAAACGAACTTTTATAACTTTTATAAGTGAAACACTTGATTGTTTATTTAGACGTATAAAGTATGTAAGTAAAATAAGTTAAAAAGTTTTTTACTATAATAAGGACAATCTAGACTATTTTACAAAAATATGATTGAACAGACTAAGAAATAATTTCAATATACGTTAAGCGTCATTCAAAAAATATTATAATTATATATTAGTCTTGCACATAAATATTTATTTATTTTTAATACGTTGTAAACTATTGAAATTTTTTTTTAATGATAAAATGCTAATCGTTTTAATTAATGTTTTATTATAATAGTCTAAACAGGGTTTTAGAGAAATTTGAGCTGTGTTCAGAAACTTTCGACAAATTGAAGGAAATAATTACTATTATGAAAAATGAATGAAAGTAATGTATTACACTATTAATAATTCAATATAATAGCTAATTTAATTAAAAATCCTGTTTTTAACGAATTAATGCGAAAAATAGATCTATAACCTAAAACGAACGAAATAATTAATACATTAAATTTATTAATCTTAGCGCAGTATGTTATATCATTATATTAGGGTTTAACCTTGTTTTCTTTTCTGAGTAAGATTAATAACAACAAAATATTATTTTGCAAAATTTATTTAATAAGATTCATTTTAAACCCAAAAACTAGTCTATGGTTTATTATAAGTTGTTTTTACAATTTTTAGATAAAAGAATGAAGGCATAGGTCCAATAAGAATATAAATATAGGATTGTACAACTATAGAAATTATGTAATTTCACACAGTAACTTATAATATAATTTTGACAATTTAATCAGTTAATCAACTGAATATTTTTTATCCATAAAAAATAATTACTTCATTTATTTTATTGACAAAAATTTTGTATGTAAAAACTAGTTCTATGTGCAGGCTAGATTGAACAATTTGGAGACAGTGAATTACTAAGTTTGATTGTGTTAAAGTCTCTTATTATGCATAACTCGCAGATTTAGTGTGATTTCTCACGGTCAGATGATAGTAATTTTAAAAAACGACTGCAGCAGATATGAATAAAATTTACCTAATGATATTTCAAAGAGCCGCCTCGTCACGAATATTGTGTATTTTTTATGATAAATATCGTTTCATTTGTTCGCACACACTTTTACAAGTCCATCCACAAACATCTACTTACAATCTCAGCAACATCAGTTGGACGTTTCAGTTGGTATAAGCCTCTTCATTTCGTGTGCATAGTTAAGTGATAATAATTCATACAGCCACGACATAGGGGACTAAATTCGTTCACATTTTTAGTTTTTGTAAAATTCGGCGTCTTATTGTTATCAAATAAAACTTTTTATACATTGAAGTTACATCCAAATCGGATGCACGTTTACTATTTCTGGCAATCATGATACAGTAACTCATATTATTGTAGTCTAATAACTATCATAATATTAAAAATAATAAATATAAATATATTATATATTATGTACATCAATGTAATTAAAAACTTTTCTACTAATATTCTCATGGTCTTAAATAAGTTAAAAATTTCTTTAACATATGTGTTTTTAACCGTCATATAAACACCTAAGAATAAAAAATCTTTTATAAGTTCAGCGTAAAAATAATGTATTTTGTTTTACAAGGTTCAGTGAAATCACTCAATTTTGACCTCATAATAACTAATTTTAATATTGAATATAAAAAAACGATCAATATTAAAATTAAAATAGATATGATTTTTATTTTTATTATAACCTTTAAAGTACCGTACAATTCGTTCGAAGTCCCTAATGTTACTTAATACGTTGTACATTTTTTTTTTTTTTTTTTTAAAAATAATATTTTAAACACTTAATGAGTCTTTAAAATTCAAAAGAATAAATGTCTCAAAAAAATATTTAATTGTGCTTTCTCTTGGTGACTTTGCTATTAATGTATTAAAAAGACTCAAAAATAAAACGATACAACATCATTTTGCAACTGAATGGCCCAATATGGACCATGGAGTGATATATTCAATATTTATTAATATTAGTTTATTACTATTTCATTTGCAAAATGGCGTTTAATAATTATTATCTTTGTTAAATTGAAACGATTAATAAAAAATTGAAAAAAAAAACTCTTGATTGCTAATGAGTACTATGACTTAAAAACAATTCATATTACTCTTGTCGGTTTAAAAGTCACTAAACCATAATTGTGACTAGTACAATACCTCTTTTTATCATTGAAATTAGGAAAATAATTCATTTCATGGTGTGAGATTTTTTGTTTTAAATAATACTATAATTACTATTTATTTCCAAATTATACCCTTAAATTATTACTACTGAATTTAATTAGATTTTAATCAAGCTCTATGACTAATATATAACTAATAATATAGTTCCACACAAATTTATCTTATGTTAACATAAATTTCATACTTTAAATATTATAATATGCAAACAATATAAATATTTTAATACATTTTAATATATTGTTTGTAACAGTATTTGAGATTAAGAAAATTATATGAATCTAATCATTTTTTAAACGTAAAATGCAATAGTAAATGATATTCTCATTGATTCAAAAAACAATTATTATATTATACAGAGTAAAATTTAATTATATAAACGCAAACAGTCCCACAAAAGGCTTACGTATTAAATTCAGAAAATATAAACATTATAAAAAAAATTACAATAATATCGAAAAAATGTAAAAATCATACAATATTAAATTGAATAAAAAATTGCATTTATATAAGAAACATAAATATACAAATAGTATAATATAGTCGTACACAATATTGTTAGAGATGAATATTGGTAAATACTCTCGTGAATTTACACATACAGTCCACTAAATGTTCTTGCTGAAAATGTTCAAAAACAAAATATGTTAACTACACTTATATGATTCAAAAGACTTATTAATATTTTTATTTTATGCATTACTATGGGTTTTAATTTTTATAGTTTTTTTTTAACTTCAATCAAAACATCGAAGAATTAATACTAAATAAATTTTTAACTGAAAATAAGCATTTCATGATTTACAAAAAATTATTTCAAATATATAATTTAGCTGGTTCAAGATTTTTATACATTTATATTTTATATTTGTATAATATTTTTATAAATATATATGTATATATAACGTTAATAATTTAATGGAAAAGAAATCACGTATTGTGGCCAGTAAATAACGTAAAAAAATTATGTTTACTTCCGCCCTTAACATATGTGCCCTAACGTTTGATACCATATAAAAATCGAAAAAAATTCATAATTTAACAAATTTCAGAATGATGTAAATGTAACTACTAAATTCAAATAAGAATTTTTGGTATAAACAGTTTTCTTTAAAAATCATTTATGAAAATTAATTTTTAAATACATTGCAAAAAATAACATAAAACATATTTTAAATTTAGTTCTATATTGTAAAAATTGGTTGAATAAAGAAGTATAAAGTATTATGTAAATCATAAATTACATGACTTTTCAGTTAAATCTATTTTACTCTGTATATTTATTATATATATATATATATATATATGTATTTGTAATAAATCGAGAAGCAACATATTACATGAAAAACAATGATAAATATTGAATTGTAATTCGTCGGGTGTTTTGAAAATTTTCTATACAGATAGATTTATAAAAAATAAAATGTACAAATTTATTATTTTATTTCATTATATTTAGATTTTATCTGTGTAAACAATTTAAGCACTTAGCTTTATTGTTTCACTTTTAATACATATTTTATATGCACAGTGATAAACAGTTGCCTATATGGAATTGTTAACGGAAAGTGAAAGAGCGAATTTTTAAGATTAGTTGGTTGGTTTATCACAAAATAAATGTGTAATAATTAATTCCTAAGAAAACTTTTAGTTAGAGAACATATATTTGAAACGTATAAATTATATTAGATCTACACAATTTGTGTTTGTTTATTTTAGTTACTATAAATAAGCGCCATGTTAATTGACATAATATAAAGATTTTAAACTTAGGTTTCAGATATAATAAAATAGCTTAGCTTTTTTTTATTTTGGACATAATCACAAGAAATATATGTGTTACAATTTAATTACTATTTATATATTTTTTTACATATTATCATACATTATTTTCTTTTCACAATCATTTTTTTCTGTTAAACTTTATGGGGAGAAAATTTATAATGTTATTTTATAAAACATAATATTGATATTATATCTACAAGCGTAAGTTTATTTTATAAAATTATTTAAATAGTTTAGTGAAATATGTTCATTTTTGACTCTGCTTTTGTTAGTATTTTCTATATTTTGGAATTAATTATGTACCTATTAAGTTGAAAATAGGATACATGTTAGATTTACTTCCTATAACGCACTTATAAAATTTATAAATTTAAGAACTATTTTAATGAAAATATATTATATTTAATTTATTATTATACTTGTAATTATTCAGCTCATAAACAATTAGTATAACTATTTAAAGATATGTAAAATTTGTATAAATTATAAATGTGAAATTACGTCATTTTTATTAATAAAAACATAATTTTAATAATTTTATAAGACATGAGTTAATATATATATTAAGTAAAAGGAACCTTATTTATCTTAAAGTAAAATAATTTATCATACATTTATTATAGATTTTTTTAAATAACTCGTAAGAAAATATTAAACGTAGCTTTATTATCAATGTTACAATCATTTTAAAGAAAATATTTTTCTATAAATTAGTGATATAAATAATAAGATATCACAAAGTAAAATATGGTTTTTTTTTTTAGTTATTCCTCCAACACCCTATTTCAATATTAATTATGTATATTTATAAGTCATTAAATAATACAATTTGATTCAATGATTGTAAATTAAATGAAACGCTAAACGAATAATTTTTTATTAACACATTTTGTTCGTCACATGACACAATGTTCAACTATTGACCTTATAGTTGTGGTTTCCGTCAAAGATTGTTTAATGAAATTACAATAAATACTAATACATGGATACTAATTAAGTATATACTTATTAGTTTACAATGTAATCAATATGCATATGATTACTTCAGATTTTCAACCATATTATATCTTTGAGTCATCGTCAACGCCTGTCTAGTAAATTCCATTGCCTCCATTGAATCTAAAAAAATTTTTTTTAATGAGTAACATATTTTATAATTTCGCACAAACTATTAAAATAACATACTTAATTTAAAATAAAAGATACAACTTAAACGGTATAGGATTACTTTATTACTTCTACTAATAACAGAAATACATAAATTTTAGTAATATACAAAACAGTATTGCAGTTCGTTTTTTATACATATTTTAAAATTTTTAAATTGTATTGTTGATAAGATAAAGATAAAACCGTGATTTCAAAAACGTTTTCATATTTATAAATAAAAAATATTTTTATTTATCATAAAACTATGTGAAAGCTTTGCTATTTCATTATTATTAAATAGGCTTAACGAGTAGGCGCTCGAAATGAATTACCTACTAAAGAAACACGATGCCTAGTCAAAAAAAAATGCGAACAAGTATTAATTCTGTATTCAATCATTGGAATAAAATCAATTAAATATTAATTTTAACAAATCGGCTTATTTTTTTAATATTAAAAAGAATTTATTTCATATTCGATGTATCTTAGTTGTTGAAAATGAAATAATAAACTTAAATAGAACTTTCAATCGAAACTTACTTTAAATAAACCGATAGGCCTTATGGTACTTTTTAATTAGGTAAATATGTAGTTGTACACGTCTACTACAACAACAAAAACAAGTAACGAGTACGATGTTACAAGAAAATATTAATATTACTTCATAGTATTTTTCAAAAACGAAGAAACACATTATTTTAAAGTTAAGATTTAGTCCTCTTCGAGTAAAAATTTCTATTTAGTTTTTCAATATTAACAAGGGTAAGTCAAAATTTCACGTGTTGCGTCACATGGCACAAAAGTCTCGATCAAAATAACACAGACACATTTTTTGGTTCAACAGACATCAACAATTATTTATGAGTACGCTTCAAGAAGTTACTTTTTTCTTCACAGTCAGTAGTAGACGGGTAGGAAATAAAATTGTATTTTTCTGTTCTTTGGACCTCATTGTTATTTTATTTTTTAATCCGTCGTGACCCTTAGATTCAATGCTGGGTAACTACTGAATACTGGTCATAGTCAACGTCGATTATATAATGGCCAATTATTATACAGTATTCGACTGTTGTAAAAAAAAGAAAATATTGAAAGCATAAAATTAGGTAAAAAAACTATCATTACAATCCTCGGAAAAATCTTAAACAAGCTCTATCATTATAGAGATTAACGTTTGTACCGCATCCTCATTCCACATAAAAAAAATGTGTTTTTACAAATTAATTCAGATTTCTCTTCCTTTTAATGTCACATTAATTGTAAATAAATTATATGATTTCTTGTTCTTTTTATGTAAAAAAAAAACATTAACAAAATTATAACAGTAATCGAATGAAGGTAATTAAGTTAAATTATCTTAAAAGACACTATAACAAAATTATTTTACATTTCTATAATTATTTCGATTTTTCTGTTTAATTATTTCTTATCAATTTATTTCATTCATTAAATGACCTGAAAACTAAAATAACAGAGTTTTAATTATTTTACAAAATAACTTTTTCACTATTTACCTACGCCTATGTACTCTGTTGTCTGATTATTTTAACAGATTTACCAAATTCATTTTAGCTTTAATTCGAAGCTGAGAAGGTATTAATTTTACTATGATGTGTTTTTTTATTTTTTGTGTGTGTCTGTTACCACTTTTTCTCAGCTCTCACCGAACCGATTTCTTTCAACTATATGTCAAAAGATCATAAATGGTATCTTGTCAAAGACAATACCTTCAAAAATTAAAAGTATTTTTCTCATTTTCCATAAATGGGGAATATCTCCAAAAAAATAAAAATGTAAAAATTGCTGATTTTCGATATTTTTTCAATTTTTTTTTACTTAAAACAGCCATAACTTTTTGAAAAATGGATAAATAAAAATAAAAGTTCTTGTATACATACTTTAATTATTTGCCTATTATTTGTTATATTATTTTTGAAATTTTGGCCATTAACATGCCTATAAGGAGGATTAAAATGCAAACTTTTGCACAAATAATTAATTTTTTCAACTTAATTTTTGAAAATGTTCTGACATTTTTATATATATCTTAAATTATATTATATATATATACCAATAAATATCAAGGTACCCATAAATACAGTGTCCCATTATAAGAAGAAATTTCTTATTCATATTAAAATAATTTTTCTATGTGGTTATTTTTTTGTGGCTCTCATTTATTTTCTCAGCTCTGAATTGAACAATTTTTTTAAAGATACGTCAAATGATCACAATTATTATCTAGTTAAAGGTATTACCCTTAAAAATTGAAAAAAATCCCCTTTATCAAATAAAAAGTAGCGTAAAGAGCTTTCTCTATACAGACAATTAAAATCATTAATTTATAATAATTATCAAGTATTTATTGTTGAATTAGGTTTTATATGATAATAAATTTCATACTNTCTCTATACAGACAATTAAAATCATTAATTTATAATAATTATCAAGTATTTATTGTTGAATTAGGTTTTATATGATAATAAGTTTCTACTATAAAATTATATAATTTTTCTTTGTAAAATATTTTTCATAAATTATATTTTTAAATATAAGAATTACTAATCAGAATATAATTAAAGAATTAGAAGTTGATATTGCGTTTGTAATTGTGCACAAACACTAACAACAGATTTGCATCGATGCATTTCTTATAAAAGTGATTAAAATCACTGTCAGATATCATCTATACTTGTCCTAACTATCTCACGTCCATATTGTGCCGCAACCCCACAATGTTATCGTTTTTTAGCTTCGATGCGAAGCGGAGAAGGTATTAATTTTACTATGATGTGTTTTTGTTTTTTTTTTATGTCTGTTGCCACTTTTTCTCAGCTCTCACTGGACCGATTTCTTTCGAAAATACTTCAAAAAATCACAAATCGTATCTAGTTGAAGACATTACCCTTAAAAATTGAAAAAAATTCCCTCGTTCCTCGCAAATGGGGGAAATATCCAAAAAAATTACAAATTTAAAAATCGCTATTTTTCGAAATTTTTTCACTTTTTTTTCTTAAAACTATCATAACTTTTTTAAAAACAACAAAACAACATAATTTTTTTTTATATTAAAACCTTAGATATCTACCTTTCATTTGATAACATTTTTTTGAAAATCTATCACTTAACCTGCTCATTAGGGGGGATTTAAAATAGTAACTTTTTTACAAAAATTAACTTTTTCAATTTAATTTTTGAAAATGTTCCGGAAATACTGCGTTCTTTAAACATATATCAAATTAAAGCTTTTTTATGTACTATAAAATGAAAAAAAAAAATTTGTTCCGACACTTTTTCTTCTACATTTAAACGGCTGCCGTAGTTAAAAAAACACTATTTTTGTGTTAAAATTTTCGATTTTCGATATTAAATTTTCAACTTAAAAATGCTATAATTTTTTGAAAAATGTATATATCAGCACAAATTTTTTTTTCTAAATACATTATAAGTACATCTTTCATTTGACATACTTTTTATTAAAATTGGACAATTTCCCCTTATATAGGGGGCGTTCAAAACTTAAAATATTGTAAAAAACATAGATCTTTTTCAACTGAACTTTTGAAAATGTTCCGGAAATACTGCGTCCTTTAAACATATATCAAATCAAAGGTTATGTTATATACTATCAAATGGAAAAAAAAAATTTGTCCCGTCATCTTATCTTCTATCTGTAAATGACTGTCGAAAATTTAAAAAAAAATGTAATGTTTGCGATAAAAATTACCTTTTATCGGGATGTTTTTTGTACTTAAAACTGCCATAACTTTTTCAAAAATGAACAAATAAAAATAATATTTTTTTGTATTGAAACCTTAGATATTTCCCTTTCATTTGATATAATTTTTTTTGAAAATCTAACACTTATTCTGCTCACTGGGGGGATTTAAAATAGTAACTTTTTTACAAAAAATAACTTTTTCAACTTAATTTTTGAAAATGTTCCGGAAATACTGCGTCCTTTAAACATATATCAAATTAAAGCTTATTTTATGTACTATAAAATGAAAAAAAAAAATTTGTCCCGACGATCTATCTTCTATATGCAAAAGGCTGTCGAAAATTAAAAAAAAATGTAATGTTTGCGATAAATATTACCTTTTATCGGAATGTTTTTTGTGCTTAAAACTGTCATAACTTTTTCAAAAATTAACAAATAAAAATAATATATTTTTGTATCGAAACCTTAGATATTTTCCTTTCATTTGATATAATTTTTTTTGAAAATCTAACACTTATTCTGTTCACTGGGGGGATTTAAAATAGTAACTTTTTTACAAAAACTAACTTTTTCAACTTAATTTTTGAAAATGTTCCGGAAATACTGCGTCCTTTAAACATATATAAAATTAAAGCTTATTTTATGTACTACAAAATGAAAAAAAAAAATTTGTCCCAGCAACCTATCTTCTATACGCAAATGGCTGCCGTATTCAAAAATATGCTATTTTTGTATTAAAATTATGGGTTTTGTATTTTATTTTAATAGAAGTTGATGTTGCTTTTGCAATTATCCATCAATTTTTTAAAATTAAACACTATCTACAGATTTGCATCGAAGCGTTTCTTATGATAGTGATTTTAATCACTGTCAGATTAAATCTATA